TGTTACAACAAGCAAACGGAAAGGACATTCTTGGGGGGGAGGGGAGAGAGGGAGGAGGGAGGGAGGTGTCGGTGACGGGCCATAATAATCATATACAGTGTATATTGACAAAATAAAAAAAATAAATAAATAAATAATTAAAAAAAATAAAAATAAAAAATAAAGCTTGAAAAAATAAAATAAAATAAAATAAAAATAAAATAAAATAAAATAAAATGCAGGAATAAGGCAATACCTTTCAATAACAACCCTAATGTAAATGGACTAAATTCCACCCTTAAAAGATATAGAGTGGTTGAATGGATTAAAAGACTAGACATAACTATATGCTGCCTGCAAGAAAGTCACGTCACCAATAAAAACACACACAGACTAATAGCGAAGGGATGGAAAAATACATTCCATACACATGGAAATTGAAAACCACTAGGAATTGCCATACTTATGTAAGATAAAATAGACTTCAAACCAAGAACTATAAAAAGAGACAAAGAAGGTTATATAACTCTACAAGGATCAGGACAGCAAGAAGATATAATCATAAATATAAATGCACCCAACGTCATATATATATGTTGTTATTTTACCCAGATATGTAAAACAACTGTTTTATTTGATCTAAGGGGAGAGACAGACCCACACACACCACACAGTAATAGTTGGGGACTTTAACATGCCACTCTCAGCATTGGACAGATCATATAAAGAATCATCCGAGAAATATTGGATTTAAGCACCTTAAACCAAATGGACTTGACAGCCATATACAAAATATTGCATCCAACAATGACAGAATATACATTCTTCTCATCAGCACAAGGATCATTCTCGAGGACAGATCACATGTTAGGTCACAAATTGTCTCAACAAATTTAAAAAGATTGAAATCATATCAAGTGTATTTTCAGACCACATGAGCTAAAATTAGGAATTATCAACAAACAAAACTATGAAAACTATACAAATTCATGGAAATAAAAACATGCTCCCGAACAAAGTGGATCAAACAAGAAATAAAGCAGGAAATCAAAAATTCCTTGAAATGAATGAAAATATAAGCACAACTTACCAAAACCTGTAGGATACTACAAAAGCGGGAAGTTTATTGCAATAAGTGTTTACATAAAAAGAATAGAAAGATTTCAAATAAACAACCTAATGTTAAATATTGATGAACTAGAAAAACAAGACCAATCTAACCTCAAAACTAGTAAACAGAAAAAAAATAATTAAGATCAGAGCAGAACTAAATGAAATAGAGACCAAGAGAATGGTATGAAAAATCAGCAAAACAAAAAGTTGGCTTTTGAGAGGATAAACAAAATAGACAAATGATTGGCCCAAATAACAAAAATCAGAAGTGAAAAAGGAGACATTACAACCAGTACTACAGAAATACAAAGAATCATTAGACTATTCTGAACAACTTTATGCCGACAAACTTGAAAACCTGTTGGAAATGGATAAATTTCTGGACATATACAAACTACCAAGACTGAACCAAGTAGAAATACAAAAGCTGAACAGACCAATATCAGGCAATGAGATTGACACAGTAATCAGCACTTTCCCAACAAAGAAAAGCCCAGGACGAGATGGATTCACTTTTGTATTTTACCAAATCTTTAAAGAAGAATTAACAACAGTCCTTTTCAATGTGTTCCAAAAAAAATGAAACAGAGGTAATTTTCCTAAATTCATTCTATGAGGCCAGCATCACCCTAATACCAAAATCAGACAGACACAACAAAAAAAAGAAAGAAAGAAAAAAGAAAGAAAACTACAGGCCAATATCCTTGATGAACATAGATGCAAAAATCCTCAACAAGATATTAGCAAACGGAATACAACGGAACATCAAACATATTATACACCACAATCAAGTGGTATTCATCCCAAGCATGCAAGGATGGTTTGACATACACAATTAAATAGATGTGATATGAATTCGGTATAGAAAGCACAATAAAAGCCAGATATGACAAACCCATGGTCAACATCATCCTAAATGGAGAAAAACTGGAGAAAACTGAAAGCTTTTTCTTTAACAAGAGGAATAAGACAAGGATGTCCACTCTCACCAATCCTATTCAACATAGTATTGGAAGTATTAGCCAAAGCCATCAGGCAAGAGAAAGAAATAAGGGGCTTCCAAATTGGAAAAGACAAAGTCAAATTGTCACTGTTCACAGATAACGTGATCCTGTAGAAAAACCAATAATCTCTACCAAAAAATCCCTAGAGCTCATAAACAAATTCAGTAAGGTTGCAGGTTACAAAATCAATACACAAAAATTAGAAGTGTTCTTAGACACCAACAACAAACAAGCAGAGAAAGAAATCAAGAAAGCAAGCCCATTTGCAATGGCTACCCAAAGAGTAAAATACTTAGGTCTAAATTTAACAAACAGGTAAAAGATCTTTACAATGAGAACTACAGAACACTGCTGAAAGAAATTAAAGAGGACACCGAAAGACAGAAAGAAAATTCATGTTTATGGATTGAAAGAATAGAATTATTACTGTGAAAATGTCCGTCTTACCCAAAGTGATCTACAGATTCAATGCAATCCCCATCAAAATACCAATGACATTCTTCACAGAAATAGAAAAAACAATCCTAACATTCATATGGAACAACAAAAGACCCCAAATAGCCAAAGCAATCCTGAGCAAAAAATAAAATAAAACCAGAGGCATTACACTACCTGATTTCAAACTACATTACAAAGCTATAGTAATCAAAACAGCATGGTACTAGCATAAAAGCAGACACATCAACCAAAGAACAGAGTAGAGAGCCCAGAAATCAACCCAGGTACTTACAACCATCTTATCTTCAACAAAGGCACCAAGAACATCCATTGGGGGAATGACAGCATCTTTAGTAAATGGTGTTGGGAAAACTGGATATCCATGTGCAGAAGAATGAAACTAGACCTATCCCTCTCACCATATACCAAAATCAACTCAAAATGCATTAAAGACTTAAGTATAAGACCTGAAACTATAAAACTCCTAGAAGAATACATAAGGGAAACACTTTGCAGTGTAGGACTGGGCAAAGACTTTATGAATAAGACCCCACAAGCACAAGAAACAAAAGAAAAAACAAGTGGGATTATATCAAACTAAAAAGCTTCTGCACAGCAAAGGAAACAATCAACAGAGTGAAAAGACAATTTACAGAATGGGAGAAAATATTTGCAAACTATACATCCAACAAGCGATTAATATCCAGAATATACCAGAATTCAAACAACTTCACAGTAAAAAAACAAATAAAAACAACAATCACAGTAATGTGTTGAACTTTTAGAAAACTAGAGGTGGAAAAGGGGAAAGGAGGGGAAGAAGTAGGGGGGCTAATGAGGAATTGGTCAACGGACACAAAGAATGATTGCATATCGTAATGATGAATAAGCTAACTACTGATCTAACCACCACGCATTCTACACAATTGTTGAAAATCAACATTGTACCCCACATGTATGTATAATAATAAAAAGAAAAAACACATACTCCAATTTAAAAATGGGCAAAAGGGGCCGGCCCGGTGGTGCACTGGAGAGTGCGCCGCTTGGGAGTGCGGCAGCGCTCCCGCCGAGGGTTCGGATCCCATGTGGAGACCGGTTCCCGCTCACTGGCTGAGCGTGGTGCGGGCGCAACACCGAGGGTTGCGATCCCGTTGCCAGTCCCCAGTATGGGCGCGACACCGAGGGTTGCGATCCCGTTACCGGTCAGTAAAAAAGACAAAAAGGA